TTCACTTTCAACTTTCAACCTTTACACCATTCTCAACCACCCAACCTTTGAAAATTTTTCTTTAGAATCCCCCAAAGCACATACATCACAAAAAGTAATGTTCAATTCCCATTTTGAATTGTTTCCCCCAAAATTTTAATCCCACCCCTCTCCCGAACACCCTAGCTTTTACTTCTTTAAAAACCCCATCTATAAAATTTTTAACAACCGGGTACATTACCACCCCTTCAAGACCTATTTTTCCCGGGGAAGTTTCTCCCCTCTTCTACACACCCTAACCTAGCCCACACCCAAAAAGCTCTTTAAGCATTAGAACTTCCACCTATTCCATATACTGCAACATCTGCCACATGCTCCTCATCCACTCTACATATGCCTTTTCTAAATCCATAAATGAAAAAATAAAAACTCCCCCCTTTTATCAAAATACTTTTTCACATATAGCTTCAATGTAAACACGATCTACACATCCCCTACCCACTCTAAACCCTCCTGTTCGTCCGCAATTCTACTTCTGCTTACTTCAATTTTTCAATTTTTAACCCACCGTAACTTTTCCTGGTATACCAGTAAATTTATTCCTCTATAATTTTACAACTCTTTTGCCCCTTTTCCCTTTATAAAAGGGCATACATGCTCTCCGCCAACCCCGGGTCCCTTTCCCCCTCTTTCAACATTTTTTAAAACAAAATACCAACCACTAATCCCCCCCTGGTTTTAACTTTTCTGTCAGATCCCATTTTTTCCACTGCTTTACCCCTTTTCATTCACGAAAGCCTCACGACCTCCACCACACTTACAGCTGCTCTCTTCACTCCAAAAAAGATGGTAACCTCCCGGCCAGGCACGAAATTACCGCCTCCCTTTCCTTAACATTTTAAAAATTCCTCAAAATATTCCGCCATCTACCTAATACCTCCCCTCCCTCACTAACCCCCACTCTGTTTAACTGAAAAATCCATACTTTTCCCCAGCTTCTTTAAATTGTTTAACTCACTCCAAAATTTTTTCTATTTTCTTAAAATTTCTTTTACAGGGCCCCCCCATTTTTCATCGCCTCCTTTGCACTCTCTCACCACCCTTCACCTTTTTTTTACCTCCTATACCTGCTCTTCTTATAAACCTCTGCTTTGTAAAAACCCCGTAAGCTACCTTTTCTCTTTATCACACCCCTTTTCTTCACATCCACCCAAACACTCCCTTTTCCCCCTGCCCCCCCCCCCCCATAACCACAAACTTTTGCCCCACATTCTAAATTTCTGCATTTTTAAAAATATTCCAAACCCCCTTCAAACCCCCCCACTACCAAAATTTTCACTAGCCCACCTTTCTCCAATATCGTTTTATCTCGCCCAACTTCCCCCTCCTTTAGTTTTACACTTCACCCCCCTTCTGTTTTTGCCCCTTCCTCTTTTCCCCTCTACATCTTCCTAACTGTAGCTACAACAAATAAAGATCCCATTATCATTTTCCCCTCTAAAACTTTCATCCTGGAGCCTACCCACAACCTTTTTTTCCACCAAACATAACTAACAAACACTTTCAACTGCACATCATACCTTTATATTTATTTTTAAACCCTTTTTCATAAAATAGTATTACTTTTAAAACCAAAATTTTTTTCTACACATAGCTCAATTAAAGGCTCCCCATTAATTTAAACCCCTGGCACCCAAAATTACCTACAATCCCCCAAACATTTTTCCCACTTTTGCATTGAAACCCCAACCCCATCACCTCACACTTGATTTAAAACTCCCCCCCATTCCTCAACAATTTCCCCAAACTCCTCTCCCCCCTCAACTTTTTCTCTTCTCCGGTGCATACACGCTTACTATAACCCACTTTTTTACATCCAATCTTATTTTTACCCAATAAACCTTTAATTTAACATTTGTATCCCCCTTTTTCCCCAAGCTTTATCCTTTTAACATTTTGCAAATCCTTCTTTAGCCTAACTCCATTTGAAACCCTGAACCCAATCCCCTTTTTTCCCTCCATTAAAATCTCCCACCCCTTCCTTTGTTTTCACTTAAAGCCAGGACATCCATTTCTCTCATTCATACATCCAAATCACTCTTTCTTATCATTTCACAACACCACGCACATTCAGACTTCCCACTTTGACAATTTTCTTCTTCTTATTCTTTTTAGTAATCTTTACAGGAAAGGGGTTACTAGCCCATTGTTCCCGGCATTTAAGTTGACTTTTACAACACGCATGGCTTACGGAGGAAAGATTCTTATTCCACTTCCCCATGGATATAAAAGGAAAAGTAATAAGACCAAGAACTATTAAGATAAAATCAAAGAAAACTCAGATGAGTGTGTATAAATAAACGTGTACATGTATGTGTAGTGTGACCTAAGTGTAAGTAGAAAGTAGCAAGACGTACCTGTAATCTTGCATATTTATGAGACAGACAAAAGACACCAGCAATCCTACCATCATGTAAAACAATTACAGGCTTTCGTTTTACACTCACTTGGCAGGACGGTAGTACCTCCCTGGGTGGTTGCTGTCTACCAACCTACTACTTTGCCATACATACAGTCCCAGCTAACATCAATGACATACTACTATATAGAAAGCCCCTTGTTATGCTGAGCATTTCAAGCAAATTAGATCAGTTTTGTCCCAGGATGCTACCCACACCAGTCGACTAACACCCAGGTACTCATTTTACTGATGGGTTAACAAGGACAGCAGGTGTCTTATGGAAACACACACTAATATTTTCCAGCCGTACTGGGAGTTCGGTCTCCGCACCTCAGTGTATGAGCTGAGTGCACTAGTCAGTGGACAGCCAGTCAAAACTCTCCAACAGCGAGCGCAGTAAAGTGTATATGTAACATCCTACCTACAAACATCGGTAATATAATGAGTCAAACAATTATATAATGCAAGATATTATAATTTTAGCTATTAATGGAAATATCGGTAAAATTATATGAAAGATTATATATATATATATATATATATATATAATATATATATATATATATAATATATATATATATATATATATATATATAGTAGTATGTCATTGATGTTAGCTGGGACTGTATGCCTTATACATGTACTTGTAGAAATAAAGATATTATTATATTATATTATTATATTCTTATTATCAAATACCTGCCCGCTTGTTAGGCGGTTTTGGGTGAGGCGGCGTCGCTCAAGTAAGCGTTGACTACTCACGTGATCGTACCTGATGTTAGAGCTGCGGCCCATACCTCACTCTTTCTCTATAGTTGGTTCTCGCTTGATAAGCACCTGTCATTATAGACCTGTTTCTTGTCCTAGAAGCATCTCTCTTGTCCCTCGTCTCTCTGGCTGTTTGCTCGTGACTTACTCTTTGATAATTTTGATTTCGTGGGAGAACCGACACATGCCTCTTGTAACTCTGTGTAACTCTGTTCACAGAGCATTGTTCAGACTTATTGATTTTTGACGTTTTACTGAGGTTATGTGTCAGGGAGACACTTTGTTCAACCCTGATCCCAAGCTGAAGCTTCTGACCTCCTTTGTGGCGTCTACGCACCGTCGTAGTCAGGGATTTGGTTATGCTGAACTTAGATTTAATATTAAAGGAGTTTTATGCCTTTTATTGAAGGTCTTTATTTTGTCTCCTTGTTCCTTACGCTGTGCTGCTTCTTGTTACATTATTGCTGTTTGGCGAATGGTTCGTCTTATTGTTTAAGAAAGTTGTTTGATTGATTGCCTTGATAGTCAAGAAGATAGATTTGTGGACTTGTCAGTCTCTGTTTAAGTCTAATTCGAGTCGAGCCTTACCGAGACATGAGCACTTTCAGCACTTACATTTTCACACACACACTTGTATGTACTAGTATTATACTTGATATCAATGTACCAGATGGTACTTGTTAGGAATATGTCCTCAGAACTATATTACTATATGTACAATTTAACATTAGACTACGAAAAAGTGTACGAATTTATATACTAAATTATATCAAGCTTATTTTGACATTCACCAAGACAACTTTGTTACGAGAGATCTCAAATTTCATTTCGTTGGTTTATCATCATCCAATTGTGATCCCAAAATACTTAAATTTTCTCTCAAATTCTATGGATAACTGGACCTGATTTTATTCTGACAAACTATAACAAAACCAGAAACAGGCTAGATGCTAGAGGGAATCAATAAATTGACCTTGTACTATTCTCTGGAGATGTCTATACTGTATAGATATCTCATTTTGTAACAATATAGCACCTGCCTAACACCCACACTTAGATAATGTACCTGGCTACCACCCACACTGTAAATATAGCACCTGCCTACAATTTTTTGGATATAGTACCTACGTACCACCAACATTGTGAATATAGCACCTAGCTACCACTCACACTCTGGATAGAACACTTACCTACCACCTGCCACCCACACTGTAGATAGCACTTACCTGCCACCCACACTGTAGATAAAGCACTTACCTGCCACCCACACTGTCGATATAGCACTTACCTGCCACCCACACTGTCGATATAGCACTTACCTGCCACCCACACTGTCGATATAGCACTTACCTGCCACCCACACTGTGGGTCCACAAAGGAGCATCGAGGAAGTAAATGTGATCAAATATCTGGGAGTGGACTGGTCAACAGATGGTTCTATGAAAGATGAGGTGAACCATAAAAGTGGCGAAGTTATAAAGGTGACTGGTACATTATCTGTGGAGACGACGACACACAGTGTAAGTTGCCACTCACACAGTGAGTCTATCACATTGCCACTAGTTACACTAAGTTTTCCACCTGGCTGTTACTCAGTGTTTTTTTTAAGCGAGCTCGTTTTGTTTCTATTATCATTTATATATTTACTTCTGACTCCTTTTTGTTGCATTGTGTTGTCTTCTCTTCATCGTATTTTGCATTTTGATTTGAGTTGTGCATTTCACTTGAAATATTTAGTCTTAATTTAGAGAGGAAGGAATCAAAGAACTTTGTTAAAGGATGATGTGTTTATTGGCATCCACAACAGATGTATTTAGAAGTGCAGAGAACATTTTAAAAATATGTTTTTTTTTATTTGTGATAACCTAGTGTCAGGCCGGTGTCGAGTTGGTGTCGCGCTGGCCAGTAGCCAGTGTGTTATTTCTGTACAATTGGCATGTGTCAAGTTGGTAGAGTGTGGGGCTTGTGTTGTGCTGGTCAGTAGTGTGTTATTGGTGCCACTACAAGTGTTCTGCTAGTGTACAAACGTTCTGCTAGTGTGAACTTGGTGTTGGGCTGGTGATGGCAGTGAGTGCCTGGTGTCTGGCTGGAGACGAACGTGAGCTGGCTGTCTTGCTGTTGCTGGGCGAGTGTGAGCCTGCTGTCTGAGTGGTGCTGGGTGTGAGCCTGGTGTTGGTCTGGTGATGGATAAGTGTGAGCTTTGCGTCGGCTTGGTGACGGTGCTCACACATGAATGCTATAATCATTACCACTAGCAGAGGTGAAGGACCGCCTGTAATAAGGAAACCAAAAATAATACATACGATCTTAAATTTATGAAGTTCATATTTTTTATAATATTGTGGAAGATAGTTGTTTGATATAAACAACTTGTCCCTAGATTTTGTTGTTTCAAACTCACCTCCTGTCCATATTGTTTAAGTTGTCGCTTTAAGAGGCACGTAAGTTACTCCGTTTTCTAATAACATGTTTATTTTTCCACTATAATCTACCTTGTCCATAATTACTATCACATTTCCTTTGTCTGTTTCGTAATGTCATGTCCGGGATCTTTCCTTAATTCATGGTATAACTTAAGAAATCTTTGAGGACAGTTGTCAAGTTATATTATGAATTAAGGAGAGATCCTGGACTTCACCTTACGAAACAGACAAAGTAAATGTGATAGTAATTATGGACAAGGTAGATTATAGTGGAAAAATAAACATGTTATTAGAAAACGGAGTAACTTACGTGCCTCTTAAAAGTATATTCCTTCTGAGCCTCACGATCTGTCATACCCATTCGTCATATTAGAAATACAGACACGTGTAACACTTGGGTATATTTATTGCCAAAATCTTTCGACTGCTCAGTTGACTTCTTCAGTCGAGTATAGAGACGATTACAAAATTGGAGACAATTGAAGAAGTGGAGAGGTAATTTGAGGTGATCAGTCCTCAGCCTTGATAGAGGGTAGTCAGTCCCTCAGCCTGAGCCAGAATCTTGAAAACAGAGACTTATATACGCGAATTTGGGGTGCTGGAGCTGGAGATGGCGTCACAGGTAAGCGTGGCTCAATTTTGGGATAGGTTATGAAGAACAGGTGTTTAGCAATAAGCTTCCATGGTAATGGAGTGGCAGGGAAGAATCATATTAATGGTATTCAACACCAACAAGTTGATGAACAAGATCCATATATTCCACACGAATGTCAGCAACTTTGGTCATCTGCTTCTTGGCACTGTATACAGTAAATATGATGTATGGCACAGCAACACCCTGGCACAGCCTTGACCACATCTGATCAAGGTTGAGGGACTGATAACATTAAAATTACCTCAACTTCTACTCTCTCCTGAATTATAATCGCTTGTACTCGGCTGAAGATGCGTGTTTTCACAGGCGAAATATTTCTATATTAATTCTATTTAAGTACCGCACATTTGTCCAACTCCTGAATATGAGACTTGAAAAATGGCCTCGTTCACTGCATCCACTTTCACTCTACACAGCCCCCTCAAGGGAGGTTCCTTGACGCTGGTGAGGGGCTCTTGATTTAGGGAATTGGACCTGTGCTCCGATTCCCTGAACTGAGCCTAAATGCCGTCCATCCCTCCCCCCCCCCCCCACATGCGCTGTATAGTCCTCCTTCATTAATGCTGTAAGTTTATTTTTCAGTTTCTCCCTCCCTGAGAGCATACAATGGCTCTGTCAATAATTTGTACATTTAAATATAAAACCAAATTTTTATATTAATGAAAAATATTATTTACAAATTTAATTTCTCACAGAAATGATGACATCTACGCAAAAACAAATTTGCGTAAAAAATCACTTAAATATTTTAATATTTAAGTACAACGCTATATTATTTTTCAAAAAGTTTTATTTTTTTTTTTATTTTTTTGCCAGGAAGCCCTTGTTTCCTGTGTGTGTGTGTGTGTGTGTGTGTGTGTGTGTGTGTGTGTGTGTGTGTGTGTGTGTGTATGTGTGTGTGTGTGTGTGTGTACTCACCTATTTGTACTCACCTATTTGTGGTTGCAGGGGTCGAGTCCTAGCTCCTGGCCCCGCCTCTTCACCGGTTGCTACTAGACCCTCTCTCTCCCCGCTCCATGAGCTTTATCAAACCTCGTCTTAAAACTGTGTATGGTTCCTGCCTCCACTACGTCATTTTCTAGGCTATTCCACTGCCTTACAACTCTATGACTGAAGAAATACTTCCTACTATCTCTCTGACTCATTTGTGTCTTCAACTTCAATTGTGGCCTCTTGTTTCTGTGTCCCCTCCCTGGAACATCCTGTCCTTGTCCACCTTGTCTATTCCACGCAGTATTTTATATGTCGTTATCATGTCTCCCTGACCCTCCTGTCCTCCAGTGTCGTCAGGCCGTTCCCTAATCTTTCTTCATAGGACATTCCCCTAGCTCTGGAACTAACCTTGTTGCAAACCTTTGTACTTTCTCTAGTTTCTTGACGTGCTTTATCAAGTGCGGGTTCCAAACAGGTGCTGCATACTCCAGTATGGCCTGACATACACGTGTACAGTGTCTTGAATGATTCCTTACTAAGGTGTCGGAATGCTGTTCTCAGTTTGCCAGGCGCCCATATCCTGCAGCAGTTATCTGATGATGTGTGCTTCCGGAGACATGCTCGGTGTTATACTCACCCAAGATCTTTCTCCTTGAGTGAGTGTGTGTGTGTGTGTGTGTGTGTGTGTGTGTTGTGTGTGTGTGTGTGTGTGTGTGTGTGTGTGTGTGTGTGTGTGTGTGTTGTGTTGTGTGTGTGTGTGTGTGTGTGTGTGTGTATGTGTGTGTGTGTGTGTGATGTGTGTGTGTGTGTGTGTGTGTGTGTGTGTGTGTATGTGTGTGTGTGTGTGTGTGTGTGTGTGTTGTGTGTGTTGGTGTGTGTGTGTATGTGTGTGTGTGTGTGTGTGTGTGTGTGTGTGTGTGTGTGTGTGTGTGTGTGTGTGTTGTGTGTGTGTGTGTGTGTATGTGTGTGTGTGTGTGTGTGTGTGTGTGTGTGTGTGTGTGTGTGTGTGTGTGTGTGTGTGTGTGTGTGTGTGTGTGTGTGTGTGTTGTGTGTGTGTGTGTTGTGTGTGTGTGTGTGTGTGTGTGTATGTGTGTGTGTGTGTGTGTGTGTGTATGTGTGTGTGTGTGTGTGTGTGTGTGTGTGTTGTGTGTTGTGGTGTGTGTGTGTGTGTGTGTGTGTTGTGTGTGTGTGTGTGTGTGTGTGTGTGGTGTGTGTGTGTGTGTGTGTGTGTTTACTAACCTAATTGTGGTTGCAGGGGTCGAGACTCGTCTCCAGAGCCCGCCTCTTCACTGGTCGCTACTAGGTCGTCTCTCTCCCTGCTCCATGAGCTTTATCATACCTCATCTAAAAATTATGTATGATTCCTGCCTCCACTACGTCACTTTCCAGACTATTCCACTTCCTAACAACTTTATGACTGAAGAAATACTTCCTAACATTCCTTTCACTCATCTGAGTCTTCAACACCCAATTGTGACCTCTTGTGTCTGTGTCTCATCTCTGGAACATCCTGTCTCTGTCCACCTTATCTATTCCTCGTAGTATTTTGTATGTCGTTATCATGTCTGCTCTAACCCTCCTGTCCTCCAGTGTGGTCAGGCCGATTTCGCTAAACCTGTCTTCGTAGGACATTCCCCTTAGCTCTGGAACTAGCCTTGTTGCAAACTTTTGCACTTTTTCTAATTTCATGACGCGCTTGACCAGGTGTGGGTCCCAAACTGATCCTGCATACTCCAGTATGGGCCTGACATGCACGGTGTACAATGTCTTGAATGATTCTATACTGAGGTATCGGAACGCTATTCTCAGGTTTGCCAGGCGCACATATGCTGCAGCAGTTATCTGCTTGACGTGTGCTTCCGGAGACGTGTTCGGTATTATACTCTCCCCAAGATATTTCTCCTTGAGTGAGGTTTACAGTCTTCGGCCGCCTAGCCTATACTTTGTCTGCGGTCTTCTTTGCCCTTCCCTGATCTTCATGACTTTGCATTTGGAGGGGTTAAATTCGAGGATCCAGTTGCTGGACCAGGTGTCCAGTCTGTCCAGGTCTCTTTGTAGTCCTGCCTGATCCTCATCTAATTTAATTCTCCTCATTAACTTCACATCATCTTCGAACAAGGACACTTCTGAGTCTAACCCTTTCATTATGTCTTTCACATATACCAAAAATAGCACTGGTCCTAGGACCAGTGGGACCCCGCTTGTCACAGGCGCCCACTGTGATACCTCATCATGTACCATTACTTGCTGTTGCCTCCCTGTCAGGTATTCTCTGATCCATTGCAGTGCCCTTCCTGTTATATGTGCCTGATCCTCAAGCTTCTGCACTAATCTCTTGTGAGAAACTATGTCGAAGGCCTTCTTGCAGTCTAAGAAAATGCAATCAACCCACCCTTCTCTCTCGTGTCTTACTTCTGTTACCTTGTCATAAATCTCCAGTAGCTTTGTGACAGAATTTGCCTTCCATGAATTCGTGCTGGTTGTCATTTATAATCTTGTTCCGCTCCAGGTACTCCACCACTCTCCTCCTGATAATTTTCTCCATGACTCTGCATACTATACACGTCACTGACACTGGTCTATAGTTTAGTGCCCCGTTTCTGTCTCCCTTTTTAAAAGTCGGGATTATGTTTACCGTCTTCCATACCTCAGGTGGTTGCTCAGTTTCAAGAGATGTGTTGAAAATTGTGGTTAGTGGCACACATAGCGTCTCGGCTTCCTCTGTATGGTCCCACGGAGAGATGTCCGGTCCCACCGCCTTTGAGGCATCCCGTTCAGTTAGCAGCTTCTTCACCTCTTCCTCGGTTGTGTGTATTTCATCCAACACTTGTTGCTATATCTCTTGTTAGTGTACCCCTCTGTTCTGTCTTCCCAGTGTCCCTTCTGCCTCCACTGTAAATACTTCCTTAAATCTCGTGTTGAGCTCCTCACATACTTTTTGATCGTTGCTTATGAGTTCCCCACCTTCTTTCCTCAGCCTGATTACCTGGTCCTTGACTGTTGTCTTCCTTGTGATGTGGCCATAGAGCAGTTTCGTGTCACACTTGACTTTTCATGCTATGTTGTTTTCGTACTGTCGCTGAGCCTCCTTCCTTATCTGTGCATACTCGTTTCTGGATCTTCGACTAAACTCTTTAATTTCCTGGGTCCTTTGCTTTTTATAATTTTTCCATTTTCTAGTGCGCTTAATTTTTGCCTCCCTATACCTTCGTGTAAACCATAGGCTCGTTCTGGTCTTCCCATTATTATTGGTGCCTTTGG